CCTGTCACATGTAGGAACACTGACTTGTTGAGCTGTGCTACAGGATCAAACTTCACTGGATCGATGTTGGTGGGAAAATGTGTGCTTGAACGGTAGGAAATAGTGCTGGTGAAAAGCGTGTACCATATATGTGTGTATGTGTATAGATATATATATGTGTGTATGTGTATAGATATATATATACTTATGCTATATTATACATTTCCTTTTTTGGTGGGATTTATTCAATGCCAGTAAATGCTGTGGTTGTCGCTGTTTGTGAAGTATTTGTGAGAGATAACATCGCCGTGGTATTTGTGAGATATAACATGGTATTTGTGAGAGATAACATGGTATTTGTGAGAGATAACATCGCCGTGGTATTTGTGAGAGATAACATGGTATTTGTGAGAGATAACATCGCCGTGGTATTTGTGAGAGTTGTGCAGTCTGTGTGGGTGGACTGCTGTGTTTGTGGTTGACGCTGTGGCTTTGGTCCATCTCTGGTTGTGACTCTAGATAGACATTCAGGGGGGGGGGGGGCTCTCAGATGTGTACGGCTGTCAGTCGGTGTGGTAGAGAGTGTCTGTACGGCTTGACTTCAGTCGATCTGTGTGTTAATTGGAAACCCTCTCTGACATAGAGCTGCTGGAGGACTATTGTGTATATTTTCTATTGCTTTGAGCATGTAACCTCCTGTTTTTTCTGTTCAATTAGAATACAATGGCTGTTTATAAGTGTATTTTACAGTCCCTTGTTTTTGTCTATTTCTTTGAGCATGTAACCTCCTGTTTTCACGTTCAGCAAAAGTACAATGGCTATTTACAAGGTGTATTCTATACTCAGTTTTTTACACAAGCACACGTACATGGCTTATGTACATACGTGGTGGCTTATGTACGTACATGGTGGCTTATGTACATACATGGTGGCTTATGTACGTACATGGTGGCTTATGTACGTACATGGTGGCTTATGTACGTACATGGTGGCTTATGTACGTACATGGTGGCTTATGTACGTACACGACGGCTTATGTACGTACACGACGGCTTATTGAGTGTTGTTTACTTATTTTGCTGATTACAAAACTCATTTTGTTTACAATTTTACCCTCCATCTTTTTCACAAGTCATGATTTCCGATTTACCTTTGATGTATGTTATATTGTAGTGATCACAGCAGTTTGGGAAATTGTGTTGGGTTTTTTTGTACAAAAATGTGTATCTGTTGTTTTATGATAATGTTGTTGTTTTCATTATCATCTGTTTTTTACACTATGCATTTGTGGGATGGGTTGCTCAGCTAGCATTATGTACAGTTTTTGGCTGCTTGTGTGGGGAAGTGTGGGGTGACTTGGTGTGTGGGGTGACTTGGTGTGTGGGGAAGTGTGGGGTGACTTGGTGTGTGGCTAAGTGTGTGATGACTTGGTGTGCTGGAGAACCTGATGGAGGGAACTATGCTAACTATCAGAGCTTCATGTTTGCTCATGCTGTCTATTTGTCTGTGTGTGTGAATTGGTCTGTGTGTGTGTATTTGTCTGTGTGTGTGTGTGTGTGTGTGTGTGTGTGTGTGTGTATTTGTCTGTGTGTGTGTGTGTGTATGTGTGTG